ACCGATAGAAGCCAAGATTCCTCCTTTTTATAGAGGCAATACATCTCGATGGTGCAATTGGCATCAAAACTATGCCCATGGAATTGAGGAATGTCCTTTTAGGCATAAAGTTTAAGATCTCATCGATAACGACATGATAAGTGTCAAAAAGGAAGATGTTGATGGCAAAGAAGAACCAGAAACTCTAGATGTCTCGACAAAGAATACTGATGTCAACCTGATTAACTCAAGAGAATCACAAGCTGTGTCCTAACCCGAAGAACATCCACAAAGGCCTTGGAACACAAGAAGAAATCAACTGGAAATCTAGTAGATGAAGAACAAAACGAGCATAACCTCACCCAGGAGTTAATGACTAAGGATACTCAAGATCAAAGCAGTGAAGATGACCTTAGCTCCAAGCCCATAACAAAAGAGAGGGGAAAAGAAAGGGGTATCACATATGGAATTCCACTCCAAGATACACTCCAAAAAATGGCACAAGAAATCCCCATCATCAAGAGTCACACTAGAGCATATGAACCCTTCAACCCTTACTTCCAAGTTAACACAATAAATGGTTCATACGTGTGTGCCAATGAATCAAACGCGCAAGTGCAATATGAACTCAAGCATAAGCTCAGCCAAGGTTTTGAAGCTATGGATTCCCAAGCCCATGATGACAAGAAAAACCTTAATTATGGGACAATAACTCGTGAGGAGGCTAATGAACAAGCGCTAAAAGGAAGCCCTTCACCTCAAAACCTTGACGACCCACCTAAGTGGGATCGATATGATGAGGACGGTGTGCTAGAAATTGATGTGATCCAGATCAACGAGAAGGGATCATCTTCCAAACATGGGGTCAACACCACAAAGTCCCCCATTATGCTTCTAAACAAGGGGCCAACACCTCAAATATCAAAAGAAGTCGAACCTTTGAAAATTCTAAGGGGCCCACTTGGGCCACCTTCACCAAACTTGTTCGCCCACCCACCTATATGGGATGTAGATCCAAGCTTAGAAGATTTAACCGATTCACCTCTCAAGGTGAACCCAGTTATAGATGATAGAGGAGCAAAGAGCCCAAATTTGACTATTCTCAAAGATTTGGCATCTTCACTAGAGTTGATAGAGCTTGAACCTTTGGAAATTCTAAGGAGCCCACATGGGCCACCTTCACAAGATTTCTTAAATGATCCACCAATCTAGGATCAAGAATTGAATATTGAAAAGTCAACTATATTACCTCCTCAAGAGGCAAACTCTTTAAAAGTCATTAACGACATGAGCACAACTCCGATAACCAGAGCACCACCATATCAAGAGAATTCATCATGCGAAGAACAAGTTCTCAACAGAATAGAAAGCCCAGCAGGGGCAACCCCATTAAAATATTTAATATAGACAAACTCCTCTCATGAAGAGGATACATTAGGGGCAACTAATGAAATTGAACCCTTGTTTGTTGATTCCCAACGCGCCATAAAGCCATTTAATATAACATGGGCAACTAATGAGATTGAACCCTTCTTCGTTGACTCTCAACATGCCGTAAGGCCATCTAATACCAACTCAAGCACTCTTCTTGTGTGAGAGACTCACCTAAACTCGAGCACTGAAAATGAGCCTACTATAGAGTTAACCCCCGAAAAGAAACACAAAATTTGCAATGAAAGATAATCGAAAAGGAGTTGGGTGATCACTCATCCTTTTGTAAATAACTGAATGAAGCATTCATGCCTCACACTTCAAGTACTCCATTAACAGGAAAACCCTAATGAGCCTATCCATCAATACAGAAGACTGAGGGATTAGGAAACTGAAAGTGATGTTTAGTCACAAAATCAAGGTTCAAGTGGAGCAGTTTAAAGGAAAAGTTCAATAGAGATTCATCAACTATTATCAAAGAGATTTTAGATGTAAACCTGGGTCAACGGAAATCAGAGGAAGATGATATTAGAACCTCCCTGCCACTTGGAGGAGGGAAAGATGATCGAATTCTTAAATGATCTTAATGTGAATTGTTAAAAAAAAAAAAAGGGGGCACCTTTGACTCTTCTTCCTCTTCCCCCTCTTCCTTTTTCATTGTTTTCTTCTTCCAAAAAAAAAAAAAAAATCCTCTGAGCTAAAAATATGAAAGGAATCCCAAGCGTTGGAAAAGAGGTTACTGGGCTGAATACTTGAAAGGGACCCTGGAGTAACAAAAAAAAAATCCGCTGGGCTGAAAATTCGAAAGGAACCCCAAGCGTTGGAAAAAAGCCTACCGGGTAGAACACTCGAAAGGGACCCCAAAGGTGATGAAAAAGAAGTTCTCTCCTTCCTTCGACTCTCCAAATTCTTTTCTCTCTAAATATCTTATCTTCCTCCCCTTGAGTCGAAGTGGTGTTAAAAGAAAATCAATAAGCATTAGGCTGGCGGAACATTGTTAAGGACCTAGATCGTCTGTAACTTCGAAAGATAAGTGGTGGAGAAACGAAATCAGAAATACAAAGAGATTCTGAACACCCAGGGGCATATCCTGTAATTTCAAGACTCTGTTTCGCTCAAAACTCCAGAGAACTCTCCTTGAATTGCAACACAAGGGCTGAGGTTGGAAGATAAAGAAATACTTGATGATTCCTCGTTCCGAAAATTCATGCAAGGACCCAATATGCTTACATAGGCTCTACCAAATGGGTCACAAGTGGTTAAACTGTAAGACCTACATTAAAAAAAAAAAACCCAACCGGTTGTATGAGTATAACTACCGACTACATCGTCAATCGCTGCATGACGTTAAATTGCTTAGAGGACTCTTTGGTTGCAAGAGTTAAAACCGCTAACAAATGTTTTTCAAAATTTCTTTCTCTTTTCAAAATTTTCACTATATGTCTTGTGTTTTCAAAAACTTTAATTTCTTTGTTAAAATCATAACCTGTCCTTACTCTGGGTTCTATTTCAAATATCACTCTATCTTCAAAAATTCTACGAAGTCTTTCAAAACAAAGGAGCTCGGACACCCGTATATGATGATTACCCCGTTGCCGCGATTACCTCGTTGTCGCGATTACCGCGTTGCCGCTATTACCGCGTTGCCGCGATTACCGCGTTGCCGTGATTACCGTGTTGCTACCTTGTCTCTATCTTTGGAATCGACCAGACAAGTCTCTTCCTATGGAAAGCCTTTTCCTATAAAAAGCCTTAGGAAACCCTAAGGAAATCAAAGAAGATGCCAGGGTTAAAGAATTTCAAATTGTGAAAAGCCTTGAAGTTAAGTGGCATGACCAAAAATCCAACTCGAGTTTCAAGGCTGCGTAACTCACTAACATCCCATACCGAAAACCCTAGGAGGAAAAATGCCCTAGGTGGGTGAGCGCAATGACTTGGAGGGATTAGTTGGTACGCCTTCTGACCTCGTGACCTCAGGAAGAAATTTAAAATATTTGCATTATCTTTGACATTCATCTGCCCCTCGAAGGACAGGGACGACAGAGTGTTTATTTCTTTGCTACTCACTTGTCCCTAGAAGGACATGAAGTGCCAAAGAGTGGCAACTGTAGACGCCCCATTTTAAATCTGGCAAATTATGTAGTTTCCTGAATCCTTGGGATCACATTATCCTAGTAAAATCAAATCCATAGCCCACACAGCCTACCCTGTCACCCAGAACCATTCTGCCTACCCAGTGTAGATACCCTGTTTTGATCCAAAATCTTGTAGACACCCTGTTTTACCAAAAAAAATCATTACAAATAGTAGAAAAATCCTTTTTGACCCAAATTTTCTTTGAGAGCTTCACAAGAGGCTAAGAAACACACCTAAAGAGGATGTTTTTTAATTTGGACAAACTTTGGTATGGGCGACAGCAGGAGTGTCACCCAGCCCAAACTGGGCAACATGCTAATGTCACCCGGGCGACACCACTAGTGTCGCCTAGCCCATTTTGCCTCAAAAAAGAAACTTTCTTTCATGGTTTGATTTCTTACCTTTTTGTGATGATTTTACCATATTTGTTTTGGCGACACTAGGAGTGTCACCTGGGTAACACCACTGGTGTTGCCCAAACCCGAATCCCCAAAAATGGTATTTTCGACTGGAGGATTTGTTAGTTATGGAAAGAAGCCCTTTCCAATAGATCCTTGGCCTTTATGACCTTTTTTCATGGCCATTTGAGGGAGAGGAACAAAGATATTGAGATGAAAACTTGGTGCGCTTATGAAATCTTAACCCTAAACCTGAGAAGCTTTAACGTAAACCTAGGGAATCCTAGTTCTAAAACCATCTCTAGGGCACAACAACCCCTTTCAATCAGAGATCTGCTGGTCAACATCCGAATCAAAGAGGCAAAGAGGACGCCGATTCTGATATGAGCGAGCCCTCGAAGGCTCGGGAGTTCCGGGCCATCCGGCCCGGTTTGGTACTATTTTCTTTCCCTTTTTTTCTTCTTCTTCTTCCTATTGTTTTGATTTTATTTTGATCTACTTTAATAGTGTTTTTAATGTCTTGGATCATGCTGGCTGTACCACAGATTTGAGAGTTGATCTACTCGTTTTTGGGCAGATCTGGCTTCAGACCTGAATTCGATTTGTCCCACTTTCTCTATCACCTTATTTTTATCAGTTTAGGGTGTCAAGATCAGAGAGATCTTCGTCGGAAGATCTGTCCGATTTTCATCGTAAATAACTTTGAGGCGCAAATCTTCTCTGTGTGAAAATTTATGTTCAGTCTTTTCTGGGGAAAAAATTTTGTGATCAGCTTTACAATTATTAGATGAGCACTTCCAAAGAAACTTAAATTTTTAGTACCTAAACACTTGGATCTAGTTGTGTGAGAACTGGGTGGTTTGTTCGATTTAGTATCTTATAGATAATCCATGTACCAAAATTGGATGGCTAGTTGAATATTGAAATTCTAATCTATGTAAAATGGTTCGCTACATCGAGGATGCTGCGACTCCAACATACTTGCAAACAAGGTTTTATCAGACGTAGTAAAAATACTATATGCTCCCGAGGGGCATATAATCTTTTTCACTGCACTGAAAAGTATACAGCTTTGATAGGGACTTTCGCTCCCCGTCCCATCCCTAAATCCCAACGACCACCAGAATCTTTGCTCCTACCCGGCCACCGCCAGAATCTCCGCTCCTCTGCCCTGCCACCACCAGAATCTCCGCTCCTTTGCCTTCACCGGGTCGCAGTCAGGATAGTTAAAGGGGGAGGAGAAGTGATAGGTTTCTGTTATTAATATGGCGGGGGTTGTGGCGGCTGGTGGTGGCGGCGGATTGTTCTTATACCGCCGCCCCTTTTCATCCATGACTCCTCTCCTCAACAATGCAGAATTATCTGTACTTCCTCCTCTTTCTCTCCACTTGTCGACTGCTTCCTCTGCAAAGAGGAGCACGGGCATATGGTGTGGGCCGAGGGACCAGAACCGCGGCCCGCTGGCTCGAGGGCGACTCCTCTCCACTGAAGCCATGCTCGCTATTCAATCCCTCAAGAGGTCACCTAACCTCCTCGCGCAAACCACCTCTCGCCTCCTCAAGGCTGACCTACTTGCTGTCCTCAAGGAGCTCCAGAGGCAAGACCAATGCCACCTAGCCCTCCAGGTATCTCTCTGTTTTGGTCGGTTAACTGTGATTCGAAGTTTCAGTGTGCTTAACTGCGATTCGAACTTCCACACTGCTCTCTCTGTGTCTCTCCACCCTTTTCTTGACTAAACCTTGTTTCTTTCTCCCTCTTCTTCTAACAAATGTTTGTTTCTTTCTCCCTCGGCTCCTAAAAAGTGTTTGAGCTTATTCAGGTATTCGGGGTGGTGCGCAAGGAGGTTTGGTACAAGACGGATTTTGGCCTGTACGCAGAGATGGTCACGGCATTGTCAAGGAATGGTATGACAGAAGAGATTGACAGCCTCATTGCGGATGCCCTGCAAGACAAGTTTGAGACTGACAATCGTGGAATTGCTCGCCTTGTGAGGGCTTTGATAGGGGCGGGAAATGCAGAAGGGGCAGTTAGCATTTATGAGATGACCAAGGGCAGTGGATTCCTTCCTGATGATTTTCTCTTCAGGGTTTTGATAAGAGGGCTCAAGAGGTTGGGTAAACAAGCCCATGCCGCCAAAGTCATGGACGATTTCAGGGAATTCTCGAAAAAATCAGTACTAGTGGGGTATGAGGAGCTGAGCATGGCGGCGTGAGGTTTGCCAAAGATTTGAGTTTTTTTTACTCTTTTCTTGTATTTCTTCGTCTTTGTGATTTTCATGAGGATGTAAATATAATAGTTCAACCTGACTATCTTTCTTTTTTATTGTTCATTTGTTCGTAGAAGTAATAATATAGATGTGAAATTGAAGAATTGGAGAAGGAACATGAATTTCAGGATGGAAGCTGTGCTTTCTTTTTATCATTTGTATGATGATTCATATGGGTTGCAATCTACGTTGGTTGGTTACATGTTTCTGTGCAATATAAAGCTCTTTATATTTTTTTTTCTTTGATGTTATTTTGTTATTCTTTTGGTTTCTCGAAGTTGGTATTGGATAGAAGAGCCTCAACAATCCTCTATAACCAAGTTTTAATCAATTTGGTGCAACTAAATAAGCTTTGGCTCGAACAGGATGATGTCGGGGATGAACCTGGAGTTCCCTTACTCATCCTGTTTGTTTCCTTTAGAACGTCCATGCTTCCTGATGAAATAATGTCGTATACAAGCAGAGTGTGTGGCTTCTTTTGAACTGAAAGTTCATTAAATCCTTTCAAACTTGTTATAAACAAGAAAGAATGCTATTATTTCAGTGCTCCATTACAATGTTTAAGATGTCATTCCGGACAATGAGAGGTGTTTCCAAAAGGGAATCAGAATTTTGATTTTCAAACTATTGGGAGTTTTATAAGATCTCAGGGCTTTTGGAATGATGGTCAGGGTGGTGGAGCCACGACGTTTCCAATCCCACCTGGTACCATATCAAAAGAAAAAGAAAAAAACATATCAAAGAAACAAAAAATAGAACTGTTGGGATCTCTGTCTTTTAACAGTCTCCTTATTAATCAATCAGCAAAATTTGCAGCCCCACTAGTGTGGGTCCACTCAGCATGTGTTAATCATCTGCCTCTTCCTTCCAATGTCCTTTAAATCCTTTATTACTGATATGTTGGTAAAGTTGGCTTTGGAATGCATTATGCGGGTTACAAAAAGTTCGGAACATTTAGTAGCAGGTAGTGTCTTACTAACTTTATTCCCCAATAATCCCTTTCTATGTTACTGCAGTATTACATTATCTTAAACTGCTTTGTTGTGGCTTTGGTCCATGTCAGTTTCTGACTGCCGTGCTTCTTCATTTTGATTAACTTTCGAGCTGTTACTTCTTGCAAAGAGGTACTAATTGATTTTCTGAACTTTAGATGGTTTTCTGTAGCATAAAAGCTACTCTTCTGCCAATATAAAAACATATTGCATTTCGATATGATATTTGTTCAAATTGGAAATATTCCTTCTTAGACATATCTGAGGGTTCTTGTTCTTCACCTAAATCATTACCTTGCTGAAAGCCATGTCGATTCAGATCCAATGTGATGCTGCTTCCACTCAATGTTCAAGAAGACTGGGGTGGCTGCCTGTGAAGTCCCACCTGGGTGGCTGCCACTGTGGAGAGAGCTGTTTTTTTTGTTTTTTTGGTTGGGGTAGGGTGCGGGCAGGGGGGGGGGGGGGGGGGCGTGTGTGTGTGTGTGTGTGTGTATAGTAAGTAGACTAATAGTACGTATAGTACGTACGTAGTATAGTAAGTAGTAACGTAA